GCGGAACCCGCCGAAGGGAGGGGGCAGAAAGCCCCCTCACCCTCGGACGAGTCCGCCTGCTGGATGGACCAGGCCGGCGCAGGAGGCCCTGGGTCCTGAAGAACAGAGAAAGGGGCAGACACGAGCCGCTCGTAGAGCGCGGCCCGCAGCCCCCTGAAGAAGATCTCCCCAGCGCCTCCGAGAGCCGCGTGTGCGAGCGCCTGCATAAGGCGTCCGCACGCGCGGCCGACGGGGGGGCACTTGGGCTGAGAAGCTGCGGAGACAGCAGGAGCTTGCTCACAGAGAATAGAAGAAGCAGGAGGAGGAGGAGGAGGAGGAGGAGGAGGCGGAGGAGCAGGAGGAGGAGGAGGAAGAGGAGGAGTTCCCATCGGAATTCCCACCCAGCCGCAGCGGCTGTCAGTTTGCCGCGCTTCGCCCGCGGCGGCGCGGCCGCCCCGCGCGGGCCGCGCGCGGGCCGCGGCCCGGCTCGGGCGGGCCGCGCCTCTTGGGGCCGCCCACCTCTCCACGCGCGCCCTGCGGAGGCGCGCGGAGCCTCGGGGCCGAGCGCGCTCTCTACGAAGGACGCGGTCCACACCCGTGACCCCCAGCACCCCGCGCAGCGCCCCCAGCACGCGAGCGCTGGGCACCCTGCACGACATGCCTTCCAGGGAAGGTGGCAGTAGCTGCATCGTCCAGTTCAGTCGCACTGCTCGTCGTGCTGGCCACAATGGTGTTGCTGTCGACGTGCTGGTCACGGTGGTGCTGCTGCCGTGGGTGCTGCACGTCGTGTTGGTCAATGTCGCGCTGCTGCTCTCTCTCTCTCTCTCTCTCTCTCTCTCTCTCTCTTCATTGCTGGTTGGTCGCCGCGCTGAGGAGTCGTTGCGCCCAGATATCTCCTTCTCCTCTCCTCGGCGCTTTCCTCTGCTGTCGCTATGGCTGGAGGTGGCCCCAGGGTCTCGTCCCTCTCCGCGACGGCACTGCATCGGCTGCGCGGCTCGTCTTGCTGGGTTGGAGCAACCAGGTTCCGCGGGCGACGGCCTTCAAATGCATCTCCGCGCTGACTTCCCCCAACTGCCCCCGCACGTGGACGCAGGGGGCGCTCGTCCTCCCCCCCCCCCCCCCCCCAAGCCGATGTTCGCAGCAGGTTGTGTCCTGAGAGTACTGCTGGTTCTGGTGCTGAACGCAACGTCGCGCTGCTGCTGGTGCTCAATGTCGCCATGCTGCCGTGCTGGTTGCTGTCCTTCTGCGTGCGTCTCGGGCTGGGCGTCGTCGCTGGGCACGCCAGCGCTGCGTCCGTCGCTGCCGTCGGGCTGGTTGCGGGCGCTGGACTCGCGCGCTGCGATGTCGAGCCAAAGTTGCAGCATGTACATGAGGCTGTTGTACCCAGGGCGCCCTTTGCATGATTTACGCATCTTCTCTGAGATGCACTCCGTGGTAGTAGCGCCACATTGCCTGCAGACCCAGCGTGTCTCTGCACGCATGAAGATGAGCGGGTGGCTGCGGTGTGCAGCGTGGCCGTGCTGGGTGATGGAATGCCCTTGGCTCGGTGGTGGTCCAGCGCAGCCCTGTTGGAACCAAGTTTGCACTCCTTCGAAGCTGGTGCCCCGTCCCACTCGTTAGGCGCAGCACTTGCGCACCCACCCTTTCCCACGTCGTGGCCTTGTCAGGCCGTGGGCGGTGAGTGGGCGTCGACCGTCAGGCTGTGGTGGTCCGTCGACAAAGTAGCCCCGTCGACGTCTACGCTGCGCCCGTCGTTGCTTCAACTGGGCTCTTCGCGCTGCTCGAACTTCGTGGTCCTCTGTTGGGCGTCGGTCCACGGCGTCGACTGCGGCGGCGGCGACGCGGCGTCGTGCAAGTGCTGCCGTAGCGTTGACCCAGACGTAGCATGAGATTTGGGCGTCGCCGATGTCGCTTTCGCGGGCTGCTCTCTCTGCAAGCTTGTCCACCTGGCTGTTGCCGTACCACGCGCGGAGGGGAAACCCTTGCGCTTTGCTTCCTCCCAAGCAAGGTGACTGTTGATGTGGTGGACTGCTATGCGCGATGGCCCTTGGTCGTCGCAGAGGTTGAGCTCGCCCCCGATGAATTCCCAGAGGTCGTCGTTGGCGTCGGCTGTGGCTTGGTTCCGATACCGCCTGTCGCGCCATCCCTTGTACACGAGTTCGCTGTCCGCCCAGTAGTGTAGTGGTCCAGTGGTGTGGCGCAGGCAGTCTAGGAGGGCCCATAATTATGCTCGGTTGCGTGTCTGTCGTCTGTGCGGTAGGGGTCCGAAGCGCGCCGGATCAACGTTGAAGCCGTCGTTGTCGGAGCCTGATAGCCGCACCCAAGCCCATCCACATCTGCGGCACCGCCAGTCTGCGCTGCGCGCGCCCCCCAATCCGTCTCCGTAGACGACCAGGGGCGACCCGTCTGATGCGCTGATCTTGTCTGCGTGGATCATCTCGCCGGCGCTGCTGGCCTCCTCTTCGGTGGTGCATTCTGGCGGCACCGACCAAGGATGCGGCGTGATGCCACGTAGCCAGAAGGCTGGCGTGGCGTTGTGACCTGATTCGGGGCCTGTGCCCGTAGTCGGTCGGACTTGACGTAGGCGGGGCTGTCGCTGCGGCAGCTGCACCCGCCCCAGATACAGTGGTAGTCGGTGTCGATATGGCCGCGCTCGCAAAGGTTGCTCCCGTGGCCGAATGTGGGCTGCTGTCGCGTTCGCGTCCATGTGCCTGCGCATACCGCTGCGAGGAGCCCCCCGTACTCGCGGTGCTTGCCGTGGTTTCTGAGCCATTGCAGGCGCCGTCGAAGATCCGTCGCGTCTGCCCCGTGCTGTTCCAGGCCCCACCCGTGGTAGTGGCTGGCTGCGGCTGTCCAGAGCTTCACGCGGGCGCCGTTAAAGATGGCGTCGAGGATGTCTGTTGGGTCGCCTATCTCGCCGTCTTGCGGGAACTTCCAGTCGCAGCCTTCGCTGTCGATCCAGTGGTCGGGGCCTCTGGAGTCCCAGCCGAGCTCCCACAATTCCATGATGATGGTTGCGATGGGGCCTCGGCGTTGCGTCCATCGTCGCGTTGCAGGTGCCTGTAGCATCCTGAAGTAGATATTAAGCCACGCGCGTCGCACTTGTGCTCGAAGGTCGGGGCTGCGAGCCCAGCAGCTGAACCAGTTGGAGAACTTCGTCTTCGCAATGGTGTAGGCTGGGTCCGTTCCCTCCAAATCGAGGAAGGTAGTCAGGCAGCGTCCTGGCCAAGGTCGTCGGAGTGCCTGTGCGCACCGTCGTCGCGTCGCTCGTAGTGCTGTGGGCACCAGGCCGTGGAATGCGGCACCATGCCTTGTGGATGCCATCGCTCCCTGCTGCACTAGCCTGGCCTTTGTCGTGGCGTGGAGTCTCTTGAGCTTGGTTCGTACTGCCCGCAGTCAGCGCCTCGCAGCTGTCCATATTGCTGCGCAGGTCGCTCGTCGGGCGGTGCCGCGCGCTGCTCGGTCTGCTCCCAGGTCGCGCCCTTCTGTGGATGCCTGTACGTCGATGCCGAGGTCGCGGAGTTGGCGCTAAATTGACTGGGCATGTTTGATGCGCGCGGTCATCAGTGTGGTTCCGTCTGCGGAACGGAGTCCTTGTTCCTGCAGCACCAGGAAGAGGCTGTGGGCGGCGGTCACAGTGGCAGTGGTGATCTGGGACCTGCTGCCTAGGATGCGGATTCTGATGTCATCGAACCAAGCGCGTGGTAGAGGTCATGGTAGAGTGCTGGCGTCGGCAAGCTTGGCCATCGCCGCGCATACTACAGTGCGCGCTACATTGTTGGCATGCCGCGAGCCTGCCTAAATGGAGCGGTCTGCGTATAGCGGGTTGGAGTACGACCCTTGTCGTCGTAATACTCGTGCTGCGGAATCATGAGGTAGATTGGCCGCGCGGGGAACTGCATGCGGAGCGCGGCCGGCATGGTCTTGTAGATCCGAAGGCTGCCGTAGAACTTCTCGATGTCCGCCCGGAAGATGGACTCGGCCATGTTGAAGGTGTCGGCGCACTCGTCTGTGATGAGTCGTCGTAGCGCCTCGCGCAGGCAGCTGTCGCCCGCGATGGCGGCATCCCATTCACGTTCTTGGTATGCAGCCCATTGGCGGACTCGGGCTCTGTGTAGGAGCTCCCAGCATTGGAAGAGTTGTGAGAGTAGCGCCAGCGCACGGTCCCTTTTCTTCGGCTTCGGGATGATCATGACGATGGACAGCAGCAGTTGCCATGGCCACGTCAGTCGGTGCTCGCATAGGTTGAGGAGGTCGATGACTGCTTGGCGTCCTGGTCGTGGTAGGCGTCGCACATCGGTGCACCTGATGACGTCGACGCCGTTGCCCTTGTCGGGCCCTCCTTTGAGGCAGCGGTCGAGGTCCTCTACGGTCCACGGTGGAGTGGGGCATTTTTGTCGCGTTCGTTCTCGGAGCGCTGATAGCAGCGTTCGGTGCTGGAGGTGTGGGATGTCGCTGCATGTCCGGGCCTCGGTGAAGTCTGTGGCCTTGACGTCGACGATTTCGAGCGGGCTGCTGAGTACTTCGCCTTGAATTACGACTTCCTGTTCCCGACGCGGCGCAGGCTTGGCGATCTTGCGCAGCACTCCAGGCGTCGCGCTGGATGTCGCGAGCCACGCACTGCACTCGCGGTGGCTGATGCGTAGGTCAAGTCGGAGGGCGTTGTTCTTATCGTCCTGCGCTTGTTGTTCCGTGCCCTGGAGTGCGTCAGTTGGAGCGTCTTCGAGGTTGTTGAGCCGTTGTCTCCAAGGTTGGTGGTGCAGTCGTGCCGAGTCCGATACATGGCGCCCGAGTGGTGGCAGTCCTTCACGTACCGGGCGTCGTCCTGCGGCTCGTAGACTGCGTCGTTGTTGCTGTCCGCGTGCCCGCTGTCGTAGCTTGACCAGTGTGTTAAGGATGTTTTCCGTGCGGCTCCACCAGTCGGATCTGTGGGATGCGCATCGTTGTTGGTGGTCGGGCATTCGTGTCTGTTGCGTCTTGAATTCGCACGCCCGTCCGCGTCCGAGGAAGTGGTGGCGGTCTTCCAGCGGGATGTGGTACGTCATGCAGTAGAACGTCTCGAGCGCGCTGATGAAGTGCCGGCATGTTGCGCCTAGCTGGTCGGCGCTGTCGGGGTCGACCCGGTAGGCGGCACAGTTCTGGGCGTAGGGCGGGGCTGTGCTGGTGGGGCCGTGGTGCATCATGTTTGCTACCTCCCACGTATCGTCCACGTTGATGGCGTCGGTCTCGCGCGCTCGTGCATTGAGTCGATCGAGTGGCGGCATCTGCCGCGGCGCCCTTCGAGCGCCCGCGCGGTCCATGTCGCCGTTGAACTCCGAATTCGGCGCCACGGTCACGTCAACCACGCTGCTGTCCTCGGCCATATGAGCCTCGGTGGCGTCGTGGAGGTGGCCCATGTCGGGCCGACGACATCACGTCGGGGGCGTCGAAGTGGCGGCGGGGTAGTTGGGCGTCGTGGTGGAGGGCGACCTCGCTGAGGTCGTCGTCCACGAAGTCGGAAAAGTCGCCACCATCTTCGCCCATCGCGCTGTGTCGTGGTGGTGGCGCTGTGGTGGGAGTAGTCGCGGTTGCTGCGGTAGGGTGGCGTTGCCATCCGCGCGGCCCATGCGCTTCCCATCGTGCTGAGTCCTCCGCGTCTCGGTCGAACGGCGTCGCAGTCGTGCGCGTAGTCGTTGTGCTCCTCTGTCTCTGCGTATGCTTCGTCGTCTCGGTCTCCTTGGGGCGTGCCGGGCGTGGGCAGGCCTTCGGTAGCTGGAGTCGTCGGCTGAGGTCGGAGTCCACGTCTGCTACAATGGCGATGTCGAGCCCGATGCGTGGCTTCCAAGGTACGTCGTGCACCGGTTGGATTCCTCGCGCGAGTCGTTGCCCGCCGTCGCCGACCAACGCGCAGTCGATGTTGGAGGGCAGGGCGTCGCCGAGGAAGCAGGCGCGCTGGTCGCTGTCGAGCCCGACGTACGCTGTAGCTCCGAGGGCGGTTGTCCATCCTGATTGTACCATGTCTTCGCACGGCCTGTCGGAGTCGCCGCAGAGCAACCAAGGCGCGCGCGCGTGCGCAGCGCTGAGGAACGCGACCAGCGACGTCAACTGCCTGGAATTCACGCCTCTGGTGGTGGAGTGGGACAGGCCCAAGTAGATGGAGATGATGAGGAGCTGGGAACCGCGCATGCGCAGAGTGACTGGCGTCCAACCGCACATGTTGCAAGCGTCGTGATGCCAGCTGTGGGCGTCTGATGTGGTTGCACCCGAAACTGCTGCACGTGGCCCCTGGCGCCGGTGCCACGTCGCCTTGAGGCGGCCCTTGACGCGGACCCCCGCGCCCCCGCAAGTGCCTGTCCCGCTTCTGTCGCTTGCCCGCGCTGCTGCGAACACTGCTGAGAAGCCCGCCTTCTGCAGCTCGTGCCCCGTGCTGTCGAGCTCGCGGCGGGCCAGGCGGGTCTCCTGCAACGCGTAGACGTCGCGCGGCTGCTGTGCTCCATCGCGACGAAGCCAGCTCATGACCGTCGGGCCCCACTTAGTGATGTTGGCGCTGAAGATGCGGCGCTCGAGGTGGGAGTCGTCGCCAAACTCCCCCCACCACCGCGCCGCGACCTTCAGCGGGTCGCGGGGGCCTCTGAGGAGGCCGCCGCGGTCCGCCGCTGTCGGAGGTAGTCCTCCGCAGCGTCCGTCTCATTCGTCTCCGCGGGTTCGTCGTCGTCGGCTGCTGCTGGAGTTGGGGCCGCGGCTGCTGCCGGCGGCGGCGCCGCTGGCGCCGCTGCCGCCGCCGCCGAGGAATCCGCCCCCCTCTTCTTGCAGGCCCGTTGGATCTCGGCCCTCTCCTGCTCCGCTTTCAGCTTCGCCGCCTGGAGGTGCTGCTTCAGCTGGCCCGCGAACGCCCTGGTGTTCCTCTGCAGCTGCTCCAGCACCTGGCGCTTGGCGCCGTCGACCGCCTTGCGCCCCTGCTCGTCCAAATCGAGCGAGCGCGCAAACTCCTGCTCCACCTCGGCGATCTGCACGTCGCTCGGCGAGAGCAGGTCTGCGCCCGTGTCGAGCAGCTGCTCGAAGATGCTGCGCTGGCTCGCGTTCTGCGGCTTGCCCTCCTACTGGGCCTCCTCGATCGCGCGCTCGGCCTTCACGACCGCGCCCGCGCGCTCCTGCAGGGTGGACTTGGCTTTCTCAGCCTTCTGCTGCGCGATCTCCGCCTGCTCGAACGCCCACATGTACTGCTTGTTGGCGTGCTCGAGCTCCTTCGCCGCCTCGGCCAAGCGCGCGGCGTGCGTCTTGGTCTGCGGCTCGGGCGCCCCCTGGAGCGCATCCGCGACGCCTGCGAGCTGCTTCGCGATGGCGTCCCAAGTGGCGAGCTTCAGCGCGCCTATGCCTATGGACTCCGCGACCGTCTTCAGCGCCGATGCCAAGTGGGCGACGCCGCCAGCTGCGGCGTCGCTGCTGGTGCCGCCTCCGCCACGGGGTCTTGCACTGCGCTCGCCGATGGACTGCTGCTGCTGCTGCTGCTGCTGCTGCTGCTGCTGCCACCAGTTGGACTGATGCTGCTGCCGCTGCTGCCACTGCTGCGGCTTGCCCGTCTTGGGCCTGGCCACGCGGCAGCCGCAGCTGCACCAGTAGTCGTTGCGCTCGAGGGTGGCGTGCCACCAACAGGACTGGCACCTCTTGCAGGTCGCCGGTCGCCCAGGTGGCGGCAGGCGCCTTGCTGCCGTGGTGCATCTCGAGGATCTCGAAGTCGCGAGCCCCCCGCAGTCGCCGCATGGCTGTGGACCGCCTGCGGCGCAGGCGGCGGTGCCAAGCAGGCGAGCTGGCGCGCTCGCGTCGCCCTCTCGGGACTGGGGCCCCCCCCTCTATGGCGCGGACCCGCCCGCCCCGCCGCGCGGTGCAAGATGGCTGCGCGGGGGCGGGGGCGGGGGCCACTGGGAAGCCACCTAGGAGGAGGATGAGGAAGGAGGAGGAGGAGGAGGAAGAGGAGGAGGAGCAGGAGGGGGGGAGAAGGAGAAGGAGGAGCACAGATAGCGGGAAGAGAAGGAAAGGGAAAAAGAAGAAGGAAGTGCCGCGTAGCTGGTCCCAGTCGCAGGTGCAGGGAGGCGGCTGCGGATGCGTTCCGCCGTGCTGAGCTTCGCGTCGCTGTACATGCTGTTGAGGTCTGGCGTTGCGCCGCCCCCCGCGCAGCGTGACATCTGGGCGCTGGTGATGCTGGGGCGGGATGCGACTGCGGAGCTGCTGGTTTCAGTGTTGCTCAGCGTGGGCGTACTGTGTGAAGATGTTGCGTTAATTCCATAGCTCGTCTCACTCGTGGATCCGGGGCTGATGCTGCTGCGCCCCGTCGTGCTCCCCGACGTGGTCGTGCTCGTTCTGGTCGCACTGCTCAGCGTTGCGCTGCTGGTCCCGGACGCAGTACGGGAAGAAGGCGCGGTGTTTCTCCCGGTTGCGCCGCCCCCCAAGCTGCGCCTTGCCCCACTCGCGGGGCTGCGAAGTCCTTGCGGGAAGGACCCTGGAGGAAGCCAGAAAACACCGAGGCCCGCCCGCCCTCCCGAGACCGTGAAGTCCAGCGGAGGGGGCCAGACGGAACCGACGGTCACGTCGGGAGGGGCGAGGGCCCCCCCCAGGGGGACAAGGAGGGCAGGCAGCGAGGGAAAGGAGGCCAGTCGTGCGAGGCGAGCCCAGCGCGCAACCGGGCGAGGCGCCCAAGCTGCCCGCGATCGGAGCGGCTGCGCCGCTGGTCCACGGAACTATGCTGCAAAAGCTGGTGTCGCTGCGAATTGGCGAAGACGTCGGGCAGGCAGCTGTTCCGAGTGTGGACGGGCTGGTGGGCCCAAGTGGCGACGAACTGGTCGGGGTGGGAGTCGACGACGCTTCCGCTGTCTGAAGCGGCGCGCTGGCCAGAGCTGGGCTGAGGACTACTTGATGAGCTGGTCGGCGTTGGACTCAGCGATCTGGTCGGGGTGTGCGTCGGCGAGCGGGTCGTCGTCGGAGTCGGGATCGGCGCGCCAGCCTAAGCGAGGGCCGGCGGATTCGTCGAATTCCGTTGTCGTCGGCGGGGGTCGGGAGCGGGATGGCAAGGGGGAGGGGCCAGCCGCCCCTACTTCGAAGATGCATTCATTAGCTGCTATGTACGCTGCATTGCGAATTAAAAAAAGCGTTACCACGGCCGGCCAGGCCGATCGCAGGAGGGGGGGGCGGGGCGACGGGCGGAGGGAAGAAGGTGTGGTGGTGGCGGGGCCAGCTTAGAATTCGGCGCCTCGTCCTCGGGCAAAAGGCACAGCCCTCCCAGCCAGGGGCGTTCATCGGCTCGTTCTGCACCGTCAGCCACCTGAGGTTGATCTGGTGGCTCTTGTATGCGGAGATCCACCTGGATATGTACTTGGCCCAGACGGCGGAGCACTCTCCCATCAGCCCGTTTGGAAGTCCGACGTGCCCATCTGGCCGTTGGTCTTCATCCAGGCCGGGGGGCTCCAGGGCGACGCCAGCGGCCGAAGCTCTCGGCCTTGGGCGTCCACCTTCTGTGCCGCGCGCTTGATGAGCGGGATCAGCGACTTCGTGTCGTGCTCCACGCCGTCGTCGAAGTGCACAAGGTCCCAATCGTCCTCCTCGTCGTCGAAGCTGTAGCTGTCTTCCGAGAAGTCGCAGCTGTTGATGTGCACCCGGCCGCTGCTGTAGCCGATGCTGCCCTCGACGAAGTACCTGTCGAGCAGCTCCTCCTAGCGCTCTGGGCTGAGATTGTCGAAAATGACCGCGGCCACCTCCGTGAACGCACCACCGAAGCCCATGATCTCCTGGTCTACCTCGGACGGATCGACGATCACGATGGGGCCCGAGAAATCGAAATCCTCCAGGATCTCGACGTCGTCCTTCGCTTCCAGCATCCCGCCGCCCTTGGCCGTCTCTACGAGCTTCGCGCCCTCCTGGCGCGATCCCGCCGAGGTCACCGGCTCCGCCCGCAGAGGCCGCACCTCAGGTTCCCGCCGCGGGCGCAGCGCCACGGTGCAGGCCGGGGCACAGCGAAGCCACTGGGCGCCCTCGCGGCTGCGGCGGTCGAGGCCTCGGGGCCGCTGCTCCAGCTGGGCGCCGCGCCGCCGCAGCCGCCCTCGAGCAGCTGCTGCGCCTCGCAGTGCGGCCTCTGGGGCTGCGCCGGCTCCATGGCTGGCGCGCCCCAGCCGAGCGCGCGCGCCCTCCTCCCTCCTCTTCCTCCGCCTCCTCCTCCGGGCTCCAAAGTGGCGCGGGGGCAGCTCGGGCCAGGGCCACCCCTGGCAGCCGCCGCACGAGAATCAGACCGCCGTCGACGAGACTCACGTGGCCGGAGGCCTCGAGGCCTCCTCCCTCCTCCTCCCTCCTCCCTCCACAGCTAAACAATAGGAATACTTCTCTCCTCTCTCTCCTGGTGGCGTCTGGGGATTGTTCGGCACCCCTCCGCGCACTGGTACTTTTACACACAGGGTTCCCAGGAGTTGGGTTTTCGCTTGGGCTTTTCTTCCAAATGCTACTCTCGCTGAAGCGTCGGTTGGCGGACGCACGCTGGCGGCAGCAACGGCAGAACCAACAGCAACAACAGAGGCACCAGCAGCAGCTGGACAATCCGAGCGCTCACTTAAGCTGGAAAGGTGGGCCTGGCGCAAATGGGTCCGCGGGGGGAGGCGCACCGTTACTTGCAATACTTGTTGCCTGGATGCAATAGCTTGCGCGCGGAATGCAATAGTTGCGTGCGGATTCACGAGTGTGCCCTTTTGCGTACGCATTCGTTATCGCCCATGCAAGAGTTCGCGCCCCCCGCAATAGCTGTGTACTAGTGCAGGCAACGGTGCACATTTAGGGGACGAATGCACCGCTCGCCGTCGACCCATCTGCGCCACACCCACTTCTCCAGCTCAGAGTCTTTTGTCGCGCTCCGAGGCCGCGAGCCAGCTGGGCAGCTCTCGCGCAGCCTCCGAGGGATCCTCGCCGGCGTAGGCCACTGCCCGCCCCTGACACACGAGCCGCCGCCAGCTCCCAGGGCGGCCGGGCACCAGGGAGAAGGAGGGCCCCGCGGTCGGCTGGGCCTCCCCAGAAAGGAGGGACGCTGGAGCCTGCTCCTGATTCATGAACACCCCCTCCCCAACTCCACCGGCGGCCGACCTGAAACAATGCCACCTCTCCCACCATCCCTGTCAAAGCAATACCGAATACACTTGGCGGCAAAATCTTGGACCATGCGCGGGCGTCCCGCGATCACTTTGTATTCTGGCTTGACAGGGACGGCGGAGATTTCAGCATATTGCCCGATGTGCGCAGACCAACCAGTCCTGTAAAAAAACAATGCAAAGTGATTGCGGGTGCACATGATGGCCACCCCGCCGCCTTTTTGCACGCATTGGCTTTTGACAGAGACGGTGGTGGGAGGTCGCCATGTTTCCTTATGTGTGCTGTCACGTGCACTGGCACACCTGGCACACCTGGCACAAGCTGCGCGCGTCGCGCACTTGGCGCACCTGGCGCGGCTCGAGTACGTGGCACACTTGGCACTTGTGGGGCACGCAGCGCATCTGGCACACCAGGCGCGGCCGGCACGCTTCTTGAGCCCCTGGAGCGCCTGGCGCACCTGGTGCGCGCGCTGCGCTCAGCAGGCGTGGCGCATTTGCCTGCATCGTGCACCTGCCGTCCGCACTGGTTCCCACCGTCTGACCATCCAATTGCGACCGTTGAAGATGTTGAGACTCGGAAGCTACAGATGTATCGGGAGGGCGGTTGGGAGGGAGCGAGACGGCTTGCGGCGTGTGGGTAGCTTGAACCCTTCCCCTGCCCCGCCCGACCAGTCAGAGCGCCCAGAATGGCCCAAAGTGGGTCCAAGAGGGCCCCATGAGGCCCAAAATTACCTCCAATATGGCTTACGGTATGCCAAGATGGCTCCAGATGGCCTCCAAGATGCCTCCAGGAGACCTCAACACTGCTCCAAGACGGCTCCAGAAACGCCTGAAGGGAACCCAAGAGCGCCAAGAGGTCCCCCTTTTCTTCGCCAAGGCGAAAGTCGCAGACGCCGCGCACGCACAGGTCGGTCGGGCAGCACAGGGCCACCTGTACAGCAAATTCATGCACGGCAGAAAGGGGTTAAGAAGAGAGGCTGCAGGGCGGCCACGGAGGTACCGAAGCCGTCACGGGAACGGAAAGAGCGCTCCCAGGAACTTGCCCGAGATGGCTCACGACACCGCCCGCTCTTGGGAGCCTTGGCGTTCAGAGCTCTTTACATCATCGTTCGTACTGGGAGCCTTGGCGATTAAAGCTTTCCCTGGGAGCCTTGGCGATTAAAGCTTTCCACAGCATCGTTCGTACTGGGACCCGTGGCGATCCGAGCTCTTGCCGACATCGTTCGAAGTGTACATGCCCCGCGACCCCGCTATCCTTCCCGAGCATCTTGCCCCGTTCCCCCTTCCTTCCCAAGTATCTGTAATTCGTCATGCGGGGCAGCTCCAATATCGCACACGATGGCTCTTGGGAGTCTTTGCGTTCAAAGTTTTGCACGTCGCTGAGAGCGCTTGGGACCTTGGTGATCAGTCTGGGGCCTTTGTCACCGCTCGCTCTTGGGAGCATTGGCGTTCAGCATTTTCACCTCAATGTGTTGCTCACGGGGGGACCTCGTGACAGGCTCATAGAAGCAGATTGAAGGCCTCTTGGGCGCCTCTTGAGGGTCTTTTGGGGCCGTTTTGGGGCCGTCTTGGACCGTCTTGGAAGGCTTCGGCCGGCTTGGGGGGTTCATGCGGCCCTCTTGGGCTCCTCCTGTTGCCCCGTTGGGGTTACTCTGGGAACCTCTTCGGTCGGGCTCTATGGGGCCCTCCATGGGCCGTTTTCTGATTTTATTGGGCCGTGATAAGGCCGACATAGGCCGTTTTGAAACCCTTTTGGGAGCCTCTTGGGACGCTTTGGGGCGATATCGGGGGCCCCTGTGAATCATGTAGGACACGATAGACGTTTAGAGAGTCTGTATCGTCTGTGCTATGTTTGCCTGTCGTGCATAGCGTTATATATTCATATACATATATATATATATATATAAATATATATATATATATATATATATGTATATCCATTTTGGAGCATGCTACGGTCGTAGCTCGGGGACTGTGTGTACACAGTGCGTCGCCGTGACCGGTGAGCAAGAGAATACAAACATCACATCTGCACTGACATTGGAAGCGGAGCCGTGGCTCCGAGAGCTGCGGCTAGGCACGCAATGTCAGGGACCTCCGGAGCCCCCGCGCTGCGCACTGACATGGCCATCCCGACATGGAATGAAAGGCCGAGACGCTGGAGGACTACGCCATTGCGGTGGAGCTGTTGACGCTGGGCTCATCGAAAGAGGTGAGGCCTCTGCTGGGACCCAGGCTGGTGGCCGCGTTGCCACAGGAGTCGGCCCAGCAGCGCTTCACCCTTCGACTACCGAGGTGGCCTCGACCTTGACGGAGCCCCGCTGGAGCCGAAGCCGATCGCCACAGTGGACGGCCTCAACAACCTGATCGAGGCGTTCAGAAGGGAGCTGGGGACGCAGGTGATGCCCGACATCGGCGAGAAGACAGACGCGTACTTCCACGCAGGTCCTGGTCGGAGTGCACTGACTCGGCGCCTGGGACAGAGCATGGCGCACTGGATCGAGACTGAGGAGGAAGCCTACGATCAGCTACAGCGGGCATACAAGCTGCTGGTGCCCGACGTGGGAGACATCCTACCAAGTGCTGTGCGTGGAGTCCTCCACTGGCGCAACAGTAATCTGGACCGCTCGGAGAGAGCGGTGGTGAGCAGCACCATAAAGGGAGACTGGAAGCTCGAGAATGTGAGAAGACGCCTACGCGACGCGTGGGCTGAGAACGACCTGGCCGTGCGAGGCAAGAAGACGAAACAGAGCAACCACCGCGCGGCCCACTACACGGATGAGGCCCACTGGCAGACCTACGACGAGCAGGGTACCGACCACGAGCTGCCGCCGGATGAGCACGTGCAGGCGGACGAGGAGGACGTCGCGGCGCTGGAGGAGCACGAGGCCCTGGCCGCGCAGGAGGCGGACGCCGCGACACGCACCTGGGAGCAGGCCAGGAAGCTGCTCAACGATGTCTCCAGGGCCCGTGGCTACTACCCTGTCGTGGGCCTGGCCGCGCTGCCTCAGGCCCGGAAGGGCACCGGCAAGGGCGCTCGGGGGGGGCCCAAGGGCCGAGGCCGAGGCGACAAGGGTGCGTCGTCCCCTCCGCGAGCCCCAGCAGGCCAGGCGCGTGATCGACCGGGACGACACCAGCAGGGCCGCGGCGCTGGCATGAAGCGTCTCCTCTGTCGTCAGCTGGGACACGAAGCAGTGGACTGTCCATCCAGATGCCAGACTGGAGGCAACGGCAACGGGAACATGAACATTGGCTACGAGGAGGCGGACGACGAGGCAGTGGAAGAGGCCACCGTCTCCTGCGTGTCCTACTGGGAGAGCGACGACAAGTGGGTCCTGGCCATCTCCCCGAACACCGCGCTGGGCCTCAGCTTCTTCTCCGAGGCCGACCTCCGAGGCTTCGCGATCGTGGACAGTGGGGCCTCCAAGTCCATGAGAGGGCTGGCCCTCTTCGAGTTTGCCTGGGAGCAGATCTACGACGCGTACGGCCAGGACCTGACGGAGATGAACACGACGGAACGGACTCACTTCACGTACGCCGACAATACAACGGGCATGAGCGTCGGGAGAGGGGGCATCCTTCACCCGTTAGGACTGCGAGACCAAGGGGGCAAGCTATGGTTCTCGCTTGTGCCTTCGGAGAGCTCGATGCTGTTGGGCCTGGACTACCTGAAGGAGGCGGAGGCGAACGTGACGCACGAAGGCTACCTAGAGTTTTCGGACGGCCACCGTGAGAGGCTCGAGGCCATGCGCTCTGGCCACTGGGGCATGCCGCTCCTCTAGGGACAGCGACTGCACTCGGACAGCGCGGAGCCGGGTGACAGTACCAACATCACTGAGGGAGCAGAAAATCCGCCATCAGCCTCCGCCGTCGTCCTGGCCGCTACGGGCACCCCGACGGGTGACACATCAGACTCATCACCACCATCATCTCCACCGCGAATACGACTCGATCGATGCGGACCAAGGCGAGTACCCTCCCGAGTACACCGACACGACACGGATACTGAGATCGACTGCGACACGAGCGAGCACTATACCGAGACGAACGGCAGCG